ACCAGATCAGAATCTTCCTCCTTATCCTTCTTCTTCTTCTTCTTCTTCTTCTTCTTCTTCTTCTTCTTCTTCTTCTTCTTCTTCATCTTCTTCTTCTTCCGCCTCTCTTAGGAGTTGAACTGACTCTATGGATATGGGAATCACATTCTCCTTGGGCTTACGAGCCGCTCTCTTCTTAGGCTCTGGCCTCTCGGAGGTCGAGGTCCTTTTCCTTTTGCTCTCCTTTGCCGGCTTCGGGACAGGGAGTGATTTTTCTTCTTCACTAGATGGGGGCCTCATCATCACCTCCTTCCCAAGACCTACAAAAGAAGAGAAACATATAAGTTTGGAAAAATGCTCGAATAATGGTTAAATCATTGAGTTGAGGAGAGGAACTTACCATGGTGACTAGCCTCCCATCGAACCCTCGCCAAATCACGCCATGTATGCTCAGCGTGGGTCGATTGCGATATCAGGCTCCTAACCCAGTCCTCGAGTTGGGGGCCGCACCCAACATCCAGGCAACAACTGCATCCAGTAAAACACTATTAAGAAAAGGAAAAAGAAAAACGAAGACAATAAGCAGGAATTAGGGACGGAGTCATACTTACGTTTCATATTCCATTTCTCAGGAAATGGCATACTTTCGGCCGGGATCATGTCCAAGGTCTTCACTCGAACAAATCGGCCCATCCAGCCCCTGTCTTTGTCCTCGTCTATGCTCGAGAAAGGCATCCTGATGGCTCGACGTTGAAGCTTTATTAGTCCCCCTCGATAGAATCGGGGGCTATATAAGCGTATAAGGTGGTCGAGGGTGAAGGGAAGCCATCGACTTTGCTCGAGAAGAAACGGAGTAATATCACTATCCTCCAGAAGGAGGGATGAATCTGACCGAGGATCACCTCGTACTTCTTGCAGAAATCTACGATGATCGGATCCAAGGGACCTAATGTGAAAGAGTAAGTGTAAAAACTTAAGAACCCTTCAATATGAGTGGTGATTGCCTCTTCGGGAGCAGGCACCACCACGTGTTTTTTGCCCCACTTGCAATCTTTTTTTAACGTGGGAGAGAAGTTTTTCAGTTATCGAACATATATATCTTGATACCGGCTCGCATCAGCCTGGCACCGAGGAAGTCTTTTCAACCTTGAAATCAGAATCAAGAACACACCCTCTGGGGAAAAATTCTTCAGGGTGTGGATTCGCCGCCAGTTCTTCGCCGGCCAACCGTGACGATGAAGGAATCTCCTTTCACGGAACGATTTTAGATGTTTTGGCCATCTTAAGCAAGGAAGAAGAGAGATTGGAATATTTGGTGTTTTGAGATAGAGCAAGTAAGGAAATCAGAGATTTGAAAATATAGAGCTCTGAAAAAGGCAAAGATTTTGGAAATTAGAGGAAAAAAAATTTATAAGTAAAGTTTGGAAGATGAAGAAAGATGCATTTATAGGTTGAAGACAACGGTTCAGTACCAGTAGTGGCCGACCATCGATTGACAAGCATTAAATGGCTAGAGAACTGTACCGATGAGACGTTCCAGTCACCTCTGCCGCTTACGTCATGATAAACCGAGGGGAAGATCGAAGACTCAATTCATTTCTTGTCATTGCATTCCAAAAAACGAGGGGACTATCTGTATACGGTCAAAATTGGGCTTGCCTAATGTTGTATGAGTAACCGAAATTGGGGTGGCAGATCAAGACTTGGCTTCGGTTATATCGAACCATGGTACGGAGATGGATTGGTAAGCTCGTAGATCAATGGCCGATCAAGATCGAGACCAGTCGTGATCGAGACCGAAGCAAGAAAGAGATTGAACGAGATCGAAGGGAGCCTGCTAGGTCGACTAACAGAAAGCCGAGGTATCCATGATCGGGCAAGGATCGTGGCGGATGTATCGAGTCAGGGCCGGTTATTTAGCCTATCACGGGATTTGCTTATGTAATTAGAATTATACTATAAATATGATTTCTCTACTATATAAAGAGGGTCCTAATCATCATATTCACGCGTAATCAAGCAATATACTACATTTTTTCTCTTAAGCTCTGCTGTTTAGTTCATACCTTTTTAGCATATTCTATTGTTCGAGGGCGATCTAGCCCGAGGGCCCAGTTGTTCATCACATTGGTTTGCTTTACTTTACTATTAATTTCTAACGTTAATTCTCTTATTTCTCAGTTTATGCCAAGTAAAAATACGTATCCTTAAAATCACTTATAAGTTTAATTGTTATCCAATTTTAAGGGTAAACAACCGAATAATTTTTTTTTACACAATAAGAACAAAACGTGTGCCACCCCCTCTATTTGAAATAGTGAAATAGTAGGAATTATCCCTGAAAAAAGACTAAGAATTAGAAATTAGAAATTTTGGTGGTCTCAGATGAAAGGAGCACGTAAGACATCATAGTATAGTATGGACGGTAATGGGAAGGAAATCTGCGCAGCACACGTATTAGGTAGGAGTCATAGGTTTCGAAATAAATGACCAGCGCAGTCTTTGACTTCCGTCCTCCAACTGTTGACCGGTCAATTCAATGCCGTCCTCCTGCTATATAGCTCTGTAAACAGGATATACTTTTTTCTAAGTACATTTAGTCTGTTATTCTAGTTTTATTTGGATTAAAATCTTAGTCTAAATAATCATTTTCTCTACTTTGGAAAATACGGATAAAAATCAACAACAAATTATTTAATTTGACTGGAAAATAAGACCATTTTTTTGCATCAACAAATGAGTATTTATTACATGATATTAAAAAGTATTTTTTTTATTTCAATAAAAAAAATACTTTCTTCTCATAGAAAAAGAATTTTCTTTCATTTCAACAAAAAAAGTATTTTATTTTCATGATGTAAAAACAATATTTTTTTTTTCATTTCAATAAAATGAGTATTTTCTTTTATTTCAACAAATGAGTACTTTATTTTCAATTTGTAAAAATAGTACTTCATTTTTCAACCAAAAAAAGAGTATTTTCTTTTTAGTTATGGAGCACAAATTTAATATTATTTTTGTCGTAAAAAAGTAAAGCAGCACATTAGTTCCTTTGGGTTTGTGTTAATTTTTAGAAGAATAATTAAATTCCTTGAAGAAACTAGAGTACTGAAAACATTGGGTATTTGGAGGGGGGAGGGGGGGGAGGGAGGCAAGGCAACATGGGGACTTGGGGGAAGGGGAGGGGGGGGGGGAGGGGGCGGTGAGGAGAGTAGCATAAAAAGATATTTTCTGCTCTCTAACCAAACACTAGAAAATATTTTTCGGAAAAGGTTTTCAACTCACCAACCAAACAAGGAAAAATAAGTGATAAGACCACTCATTTTCCATGAAAACATTATCTACATAAATATTTTCCATGGAAAATATTTTCCTTCTTACCAAACACACCCTTAATCTACTATTATGTTCTCCAAAGACTATTCAAATTGACCATAATCTTTAGTTTTTTCACGCGGAACTTTAACTCTTTCAATTGGAAGTGTATTGGAGAAAATGAATTATACATGTGGAATTAATTATGTGGCTGACATGACAAGATACGTGGATCACTAGAAGAGCGACAGCTGGAGAAGAGCATTAAAAAAGATGTGAGTCTTAATAGATACGAGCAAAACACCCACGAGATGAGAAGAAAAAGTTGCTTGAGTCTCTTTAGCGATTTGAAGAGGCATCGGTGGAATGAACCAAGACAGTAAAAAGGGCAGATTCATTGGTCTTCAATTAATGAGCATGGATGATTACAAACGTTACAGAATCTTCACGAAACAGTTACGATTACCAATTATAACGTTTCATTAATGTCATTAATGCTCATAATGACTCGGTCATAAAAGGGAAAAGTCGTTGTACTTGGATATCACTATATAAGAAAAAAAAATGTCATCTGTATGGACACGTTATGATTATTAATGGAATATAATTACTTTCTTTTGCTTTCTATTGATTACTTTGCTATTTCATATTCTAATTTCCTTTCTTATTACGAGAATATTGATTTTCTTGATTACCAGTAGCTGAATACTATTAAAAATAAACTTTGACTGAAATTTCTATTTTTTAGTTAAACAGGAAGTACGCTCGGTTAGTTAAATAAAAAGGAACAAGAATAAAATTGCTCCTTCTAGTTTTCTGTTCTATTCTCATTCTTTTTAATTCTTTCGACAAGAAAGAATGCGGATTATTGAGCGAATCTCTACTGAGAATAAGCACTCACATATGAATTATGATACAAAAATCATAAACGATCGTGGCAACATTAAAAATAATATTTTTAAGTGAACTTAGTTTAAAACTATAAATGCCTATAACGTGACAGCCGCTATCATTTTTTTTTCCCATCGAAGGTTTTCCTTTTTGGTTTGTCCAGGTCAACGCTTATGTGAAAAGAGATTAGTTTTTTATTACATGTAGTTGTCTAAAATCTAACAAAGTATGGATTGATATTTGAAAATATATTTAAACAATCTATTACAATCCAATTACACTACACTGATTTTGTAATTTTCTATTACCATGTCGGTCCTTGTTGAGACAATCTCTATACAAATTCCTTCTCAAGACCGAATTATTTATTCAGAAAATACACTAAACGAGGAGAGGTTGCGATTTCTATGAATTAGCGCATTGGATGCTTGATTGGAAACTAGCAAAATTGCAAAAGAAGATGCAAAAATAGACACAACTCACATGTCAAAGTGGACGGAAAATGAAAAAACAATCCAGCCATCTTAAAAGCAAGCAGCAGACTATTAGTAAATTTAGTGTTTGTAAGGGAACAAGAAGAATCAAAGACGGTGGTATAAATTAAATTATAACGGCTATTTAGATAATTGTAAAATTATTTTCACGTGACCTATATGTTACGGGTTCAAACTGTAGAAATAACCACTAATGCTTGTATTAAAGTAGACACTCTACATCGATCATATCCAAGAGGAATGCGGGTTTTCTCCGATCGAACTCTGTGTGAATGCAAAATCCTTCGTACACCAAATTGCCTTTTTTACTAGATACCAAAGCAGAATGAAACACAAGCAAAAATAGGCACTAGAGAAACCAATACGAAAGTGCAGCCTTTTTAAACAGTATACTTTAAATTCAACAAATTGTCCCACGCCTTTGTTATGCGTAATGTATTTTGTGCTATTCAGCCCACCCACAGGCCATAGCCATATATATCGATCACTATCACATGAAATAAGACTCAAAAGCAATTACCTTTCCTTTAACATCACCTTTTATTTATAAGGAAGAATAACCACATAGATTTCTCATTCTCATTCAACTTCATCCTATTAGTTTCTTAGTAGCAATCGACGACCTTTTGGTTGTTAAAAGCTTCATTCTTGATTTCAAGCAGAACTAATTATAGTTATGGCATCATCTTCTTTTGCTCTTCCTTCTCTTAAGCTACAATTCCCCCCACATAAATCATCATCATCATCTCGTAACAAGTACTCATCCTCTCTTCGGCCTATTAAATCTTCGGTGTCTGAAAAGCCACCTTACATTTCGTCTCCAGGGACTTCTCCGATCCAATCTAAACCTACAAAACTCCCGATCCGAAAAGTCCCTGGAGACTACGGGCTACCATTAGTCGGTCCGTGGAAGGACCGACTTGATTTCTTTTACAATCAAGGTAGAGATGAGTTTTTCAAATCTCGAATTCAGAAACATCAGTCTACTGTTTTTCGAACCAACATGCCACCTGGTCCTTTCATTTCCTTCAATCCCAACGTTGTCGTTTTGCTGGACGGCAAAAGTTTCCCCACCCTTTTTGATACTTCTAAAGTCGAGAAAAAAGATCTTTTCACCGGCACTTTTATGCCTTCTACTGAGCTTACTGGTGGTTACCGTGTTCTCTCCTATCTTGATCCTTCTGAACCAAATCATGCCAAATTAAAGAAACTCATGTTCTTTCTCCTTTCATCTCGACGCAATGAAGTAATCCCAGAATTTCACAACAGCTATTCCGAGCTTTTTGAGACACTAGAAAATGACTTAGCCACTAAAGGAAAAGCTGGGTTAAACGCAGCAAATGATCAAGCAGCATTTAACTTTCTTGCTCGATCTTTTTACGGAGTTAATCCGTTAGACACCAATCTTGGAGCTGATGGACCTAAGTTAATTGGCAAATGGGTGTTGTTTCAGCTTCATCCTTTGCTAATTCTTGGCCTTCCTAAAGTTCTTGAAGATCTTGTCCTTCATACTTTTAGGCTGCCTTCTGCTTTAGTGAAAAAAGACTACCAAAGATTGTACAATTTCTTCTACGACAACTCAACTTCCATTCTTGATGAAGCTGAAAGAACTGGTATTTCACGTGAGGAAGCTTGTCACAATTTGCTATTTGCAACGTGTTTCAATTCTTTTGGAGGGATGAAAATATTTTTTCCCAATATGTTGAAATGGATTGGTCGAGCTGGGGTTAAACTCCACACTCAATTAGCTCAAGAGATTCGGTCAGGCATTAAATCAAACGGTGGAAAGATCACAATGGGTGCAATGGAAAACATGCCATTAATGAAATCTGTAGTTTATGAATCCCTACGTATTGAACCGCCAGTGACATCACAATACGGCAGAGCAAAACGTGATATGGTGATTGAATCCCACGACGGAGCATTTGAGATTAAAGAAGGTGAGTTACTATATGGGTTTCAACCATTTGCAACTAAGGACCCGAAAATTTTTGACCGGTCTGAAGAGTTTGTAGCGGACCGGTTTATTGGAGAAGAAGGGGAGAAGTTATTGAAACATGTGTTGTGGTCTAATGGACCGGAAAATGAAAGCCCGTCAATAAATAACAAGCAGTGTGTAGGAAAAGATTTTGTGGTTTTGGTTTCAAGGTTGTTGTTGGTTGAATTGTTCATGAGATATGACTCGTTTGAGATTGAGGTTGGTGCTTCTCCTTTAGGTGCTTCTATTACCTTAACGTCTTTGAAAAGAGCCAGCTTTTGATCGGACAAAGTTACCTAGTATTTATGCGGGTAAAAGGTACTATCAGATATTCAATGAAATTAGTTGAGACGCACAAGTTATCGGACAAAGTTATTTCATATTTGTGCTGAAAAAGCATATATCCAATTAACTTTAGTAAATATGTTTGTACTAGTATTACATAATTTTCTATTGGGGTTTAGAAGCCATCCTTTTCAGGTTCTTTAATGGATAGGTAACCAATTTGAATTGGTTGTGAGTGTAGGTGGGGACAGCTTATGTGTTTCATTTAATGTCCCACTATGAATAAGTTGTATAGTGTATTTAATTTTGGGACTTTTTGTGGTTTTGTTAGAAATTGGAATATATATAACCATTTTGCTATTGTCAATATCATTTTTTCTGTTCTCGAAAAACACATTAGTCATTTTATGACCTCACAGGTTCAACCTATACTATATATGAATAATGTACTCCAGTATTTATTATGGTCTCACTCTCAGATGTTCATCTTAGTATTGAGTAATATTTTTAACTCTTTCTTGAATAGTCATGTCATGTGACGTAAAGATCGACTACTGAGATTCAGCCGGAAGTAATTTTTTAATATAAATATTATAAACTGTTCTAATGGAATTATTTTCTATGTCGTACTCATTTGACAAAATATCTAGAGACTTGGCCCATAAGTGAATGACGTTTGAGAAAGTGTTGCTTTTGGTAGATTACAGTGGATTCAATATGAAGTTGACCTTTTCCAAACACTCGGATTTTGAATTTAAGAAATAGGTCCAATTTTTTTGTTTGACCTTCGATAGAAGTTCTCTAATATCTTACTAATAAAATCCTTGTTTATTAGTACTAGTTATTATGCCAATGTTTTTACATTTAATAAAATTTGGCTTGGTTAAGCTTTGCTATAAACATATTTTACTACACACGCACGGCTTATTCATATCAAAGTATTCTTTATTATAGTTTTTTCTCCGTGATCACAATTTGAACTTTTGGAATGAGACAGAGGCCGTTCAAAATAATGCATTCTTCATTCTTTGTTCAAAGATAATCGTTCAAACTAGAATATCTAGTCGTTTGAACAAGAAATAGATTCAAATTAACTCACTTTCACTCAATGATCTCATAAAGCATAATTACTGTTACGGCGCTTTAAAAGATTTATTGGAAGGGCGACATAAGACTAAGTAACCGATGTCCGTATGGTTATTATCCGCCAACTGGGGTCCTCTCCGTAGGCTAGACTAGACTGTCAGTGCTGTACGGAAAAATCAATGTCAAAAATAATTGAGAGAACAGAAAAGAGATTGCGAATGAAAGAAAGCTTGGTTGCATTAATGAACGCTATTACAGAAAGACAGCACGGTGTCGAGGAGGAGAGATACCAGTACAAAGAATTGTTTGCTTGCTAGAAAGTTTGATTCCTTGATCCCCCCTAATAATGCTTACAAAAATAAACCAAAGTTACAGGAGTTGACCTAACTAAGCTAGAGAGACATAGTGGAAATACATGAAGTAAAACTACTTTATATTTACAATGAAAATGGCATAGATTCCTACAAGGTAGAAGCAGGTCCGTTGGAAGCAACCTTATCTTTAGCAACAGAGTCTACGCGTGCGGCGCTGTTGGCATCTCTTTGCGGCTGGCGCTGGCGAGGGCTATCGGTGGGGCGACATAGGCACATGCGCGCTTGTCACTTGGCACGGCCAAGACCACGGGGCCGTCCATGGCGCTAGGTGTTGGGAGGCTTGCTAGGACACCATGGGGCGTGTCCAAGGGGTCGTGGGGCATGGCTGGAAAACCGCTCATGATATTCTCCCTCACCTGAGTTGGCGACGTCCTAGGCGCCTTACTTGCAAGATAATCATCGATCAGGCTCTTGTAGGCTTTGAGGTTTGTTCCCTGATAAGTAGGAATTTTGACAGCTTATTTACTCTCTTTTACTTGCGTTTTAGCTCAAAAATACCTAAAGGTATTCCCGAGAACTAATGAAATGTGCTTTCGTGCAGGAATATTGGGAAACGAGCCAAAGAAGTCAAAATCTACTCATAAAGGAGTCAAAAGTGGACAATGACCAAAACATGGCAAAAAGACCCATAGTGGGCCGCACAATACTGTGTGCGGCCGCAAAACAATGAAGGTGCAATGCCAGATTTCCTTCAGAGTATGCAGACCGCAAATTATTGTGCGGCCGCAGAAGAGGAGATTCAGAGAGTTTGTTTTTGGGCAGGCTGAAGATATGCGTACCGCACCATAATTGTGCGGCCGTAGGAAGTCAAGTGCGACCGCACTCACAATTATGCAGTTCGCAGAAGAGGAGAATCAGAGAGCCATGTTCTAGTCCAAGTTCAAGTGTGCGGCCGCACTCAGAATTGTGCGGTCCGCACAATCAAATGAAGTGGGGCCGCATCCAACTTTTATGCGACCGCAGAAGGCCAGTTGACCAGTCAAACTCAGAGTGCAGACCGCACAACCTCCGTAAGGGCATTTTTGTCAGATATTTTCAGCTTAGTATAAATAGAACTTTTTGTCATTTTTAGGGTAAGTTGTATCAGGGGAAAAGCACCTGAGCCGTTTTCTTTACTGTTTTGAGTAATATTGTACTAGATTAGCTTCTAAACATTAGATTTTCTTTCCCTAATCAATTATTATGCATTCTATCTTAATTTCTTCTTTAAGATCTGCATTTTTCATGAGTAGCTAAATTTCTAGGTAGGATTGTGGCCCAACCCTAGTGTGGGTACTTAATGAGTGTTTGATTTAGAGCTTGTTTGTGATTGGGTTAGTGATATTTAGCCTAGTTCTTGCTTGAATTCAAGAATTAATGGTTGCAAAAATTGATTCATGCCTTATTGACTTAGTCTCTACTTGAGAAAGAGAGACTAAGTCTAGGAAAACCTGGCTAACAAGAAATTGGGGTGAACTCAAGAAATTGATAGCCCCAATTAAAGGGTCAAATCTAGAGATAGTAAGACCCGACTTGAGCATATATCACTTGTTTTGTGCAATACTCATTTGGACTTGAGAAATCCAAATTGGGAAAAATCACTCAAATTATCGAGAGGTATAGAGTGGGTAATTGCGTGTGATTGCTATATTACAACCCCGACTAATCAAACTTGACCTAGAATTTACAACCCATTAGGTAACCACCTAGGTGGAAGTCACGACCCTAGATCTTTTATCATTTGAAAAACAATCAAAATCAAAAATATTGTTTCTAGTTTTATAATTGTAATCAATAGCTTAAAGTAGAGGTAGAAACAACAAACAAGAATGTTGAAGTGTAATTTGAGGCACATCATACAATTTCACTAAATATATACCTAATCCCAATTCTAACTCCCTATGGATTCGACCTTGACTTGCGTGGGGTTTTTTATTATTGCTTCGACCGCCTCATTACCTGTATTTGTGGTGTGAGTTTGGGCGACATCAATTTTTGGCGCTGTTACCGGGGAGTTAAACGGATTTTTATTTATATATATATATATGGGTTTTTGTGTGATTTGTCTTCTTTTACTTTCGAATCACTAACTTTATTTTTGAATTGATTTTAGGTACGACAATGGCTCTCAACAACGAGCCCATTGGAAATTTTCTAATGGGGGAGGACGTGGATGACCAAGTTTTGTACCCAATTTTTTCCTATATATTTTCAATATGCAAAATAACTTCAAAATGGCATATAGATGCATATGTATGCATATTCAAGCGTTCTATTATTTTTCCCTAATTTTTAAAGATTTTTAAATCAATTTATTTTCCTTTTTTATCCATAAAATCCCAATAATTATGTCCAAAATTATTATTTTTTGATGATTCACTTATCCGATCTTCATATTTATGCTAAAATATAGCTAAGTTAATTTATTTTGCATATTTTTTACAAACTTATTTAGTATTTCTAAGCTAAATTGCATATAATTGCAATATTAGCCTCTTTTATGATTTAATCGCGTTTATATTCATAAAATCAGGTCATATATTTTTTAAAGTGTTAATTATATATTATAAATCATTTTAGTGCTTTCAATTTATTTCCAAAAATTAATTTAATATTTTTATTAATTTTAAAAGGGAAAATTGGCTATTTAAATAATAGCCCAATTACATTTCGATTATAGCCTAAAATCTGACCCCAATTTAAACCCAATTTCCCAACCCAATTCCGTCTTAAACCCGACCCCCGACCCAATTTAAAAAAACCCAAACCGGATCCCCTACCTAACCCTTTCAATCCTGGCCGTTGATCATTTAGATCAACGGCCAATATCAACCATTTCCTTTTTAACCCCAAACGACCCCTTACCCTACTTCATTTCTCACCAACCGTGCCTCTGAATCCCTCTTCTCTCTCAACTCTCTCTGAAACCTAACACGAACCCTAGCCACCGCCATCAAACTACACCCTAACCCACCCTAAACCTTGCCTAATCCATGGCCTCCCATGGCTATTGGGGATGTATGGTGGCCTCCCATGACTCTGGGGTGTTTGCTTCCGTGGTTTCATGTATAGACCTCGAGGGAGCCTGGTCCAATCCTTGTTCGGCTGCTGTTCATGGCTTTTCTCCGATCATCCCTGACCTTTCTTCGGCCAGCCATGGCCGTTCGAGTCAGATCCTTGACTCTCCTGGTTAGATCGGTAACTTTCAAGGCCTTTCTCACATTTTTTGGGTTTTTCGAAACCCTAATCTTTAAGATCTTTTGGTTTTCTTTCAGATCTACTTTAGATCTGTACTTGCTATGAATGTCAAGTGTTTTTTTCGAAAGTTCTTCAACTTTTCTTTCAAAATGACTTTTCGTTAAGGTTTTTCTTTAACTTTTTAAAAAGATCTCTTCTCCGATTTTTAATGTTGTTTGTGATTCTGCTATGTTTTGCTCATGTTGTTCTTCTATCTGAGTCAGCATGTTGAAAACCCTAATTCCTTTTTGGGTCTCATTCGAGTTCTGAAGCTGTTTGATTAGATGTGTACTGGTTTGATTAAGTTCTTTTTTGACTTATTTGTTTTACCATCTTTTAAACTCGATTATTGTTGAAAACCCTAGGTCTTTGGGTCTGAAATTGTTTGTTTGAATGCATACTTGACTCGATTAAAAGTTCTTGTTTCAGACTCTCTTTTCTTTATGTGACTTATCTGATTTTTACTATCTTTCAACTAGACTATGGCTGAAACCCTAATTTCTCAAAAGGGTTTCCTCACCTGTTACTGTGAGACCTTTACTTGTTTTGACTCTCTTCTTCACTTTGGCCATACGTGTGAGCCCTGACTATTTAACTTTCTTCACTACTGAATCCTATGCTTATTTCTGCTACTATTGTATGCTGTTTCTTTTGCCAATGTGCTTGGCCTCGCATGTCTGATGTTTCTGTTCA